GAATGGCCTGTATCTGGTTGGTTGACCTTCCTAAGTATGTTGAAGTGAATGGCCTGTATCTGGTTGGTTGACCTTCCTAAGTATGTTGAAGTGAATGGCCTGTATCTGGTTGGTTGACCTTCCTAAGTATGTTGAAGTGAATGACCTGTATCTGGTTGGTTGACCTTCCTAAGTATGTTGAAGTGAATGGCCTGTATCTGGTTGGTTGACCTTCCTAAGTATGTTGAAGTGAATTGCCTGTATCAGGTTGGTTGACCTTCCTAGGTATGTTGAAGTGAATGACCTGTATCTGGTTGGTTGACCTTCATAAATATGTTGAAGTGAATGACCTGTATCTGGTTGGTTGACCTTCCTAGGTATGTTGAAGTGAATGACCTGTATCTGGTTGGTTGACCTTCATAAATATGTTGAAGTGAATGACCTGTATCAGTACTCAATATGTATGTCCACATATGAAAAATAATTATTCATTACTTCTCAAACTAGTTTTTAATGTAAAATGACTTGTCATGAAAGAAATGTGACTGTCACAGAGAAGGTGTGTTAAGGCTTTCCTGATAAATGTAGCAGTCATATGTCACTGTGATACACATATGTAGCAATAAGTCATAGTCCACTGTCAGTCATATGTATCAGTTATATTCCACTGTCATAGTCATATACAGCAGTCATATTGCACTGTCACAGGCATATGTAGTAATCATATTCCACCTTTAGAGTCATATGGAGCAGTAATATTGCACTGTCACAATAATATGTTACAGTGATGTTCTACTGTCTCAGTTATATGTTAGTCATGTTCCACTGTCTCAGTTATATGTTAGTCATGTTCTACTGTCTCAGTTATATTTTACTACAGTGAAACATGACTAACATAGAGCTGAGACAGTGGAACATAACTGAAACATATAACTGAGACAGTGGAACATGACACTGTGGCATATAACTTATCATGTTCTACTGTATAAGTTATATGCCACAGTCATGTTCCACTGTCTCAGTTATATGTTAGTCATGTTCAACTGTCAGTGGAACATGACTGTGGCATATAACTTATAACATGACTGTGGCATATAACTTATACCACTGTCCAGAGATAGTAGTTAATTCTTTGTTTATATATATATAGTAGTCTTATTTTAAGAATTTTTTTTTATAGTTTTGCAATTACATATTTGTACAATACAGATAAAATTATTGATTATGCCAATATCAGTTATTCCTGACGTCTGTGATGATCTATAAACAGATTAAAAGCTTTTACAAAATAATAACAATAATTATTTCTCTGTTAGTTTGATTACTGCAAATAATCCTTTGCCAGAATTCACTTATTTTTATTTTTTAATAGTAAATGTAACCAAAATGTATCACAAGAAATATATATTTATAAAAATATGTCATTAATTTCTGTATACTTTATGTTTTCCTACATAGGTAACCACCAGTTAAGCTTGTAGTTTTTTGAGTTTTGGGATAAAATACTGCAGTGGCC